GTGGTTTGGTTTGGGTTGGGGGGGTTGGGTGGGTTGGGGGTGGGTTGTGGTGGGTGTTGGTGTGTTGGGGGGGTGGTGGTGTGGGTTGGGGTGGTTGTGGTGGTTTTTTGGTTGTGGTGTGGTGGGGGGGGTTGTGTTGGGTTTTTTGGGGTGGGGGGGGGTTGGGGTGGGGGTGGTTGGGGGTGGGGGGTTGGTTGGGTGTGGGTGGGGGGGTGGGGTGGGGGGTGGGGTGTGGGGGGGGGGTGTGTGGGGTGTATGGTTTTGGTGGGGGGGGTAGGTTGTGGGGTGGGTTTTGGGGTGTTTTTGGGGGGGGGGTGGGTGTGTGTTTTGGTGGGGTGTGTTTAGTGTGTTGGTTGTGGTTGGTGGGGTGGGTGTGGGGGGTTTGTGGTTTGTGTGGTTTGGGTGGGGTGTGTGGGGGGGGTGTGTGGGGGTGTGGGGGGTGGTTTGTTGGGGTTGGGGGGTTTGGGTGGGTGGTGGGGGGGGGTGGTTGGTGTGGTGGTTGTGTAGGTTTTGAGGTGGGGGGGTTGGTTGTGGTGGGGGTGTGGTGGGTTGGGGGGGGTTGGTGGGTGGTGTGTGGGGGTGGGTGTTGGGGTGGTTGGGTGGTTGTGGGGGGTTGAGGTGTGTTTTTTGTGGTGGGTGTGTGGGGGGGTTTGGTGGTTGTGGGGTGTTTGGGTGGTGTTTTTTAGTGGTGTGGGGTGGTTTTTGTGGGGGGGGGGGGGGGTGGTGGGGTTTGGGTGTTGGGGGGGTGTTGTGGTGGTGTGGTTGGTGGTTGGGGGTTGGTGGGTGGGGGGGGGGGGGGGTTGTGGTTGTGGGTTTTTGTGGTTGGGTGGGGGGGGTGGTTTGGTGGGGGGTGTGTGTGTTGTGGTGGTGGGGTTGGGGGGTGTTGGGGGGGGTTGTGGTGGTGGGGGGTGGGTGTGGTGGGTGTGTTTTGTTGGGGGTATGTTGGTGTTTGGGATTGGGGTTGGGGGGAGGGGTTGGTGTGGGTTGGTGGGGGGGGGGGGTGGGGGGGGTGTTTGTTGGTGGTTTGGTGGGGGGGGTGTGTGGGGGTTGGGTGTGTTTTGTTGTTTTTAGGTTTGGGGTGTGTTTGTTGTTGTTGTGGTGGGTGGTGTTGGTGGTGTGTGGGGTGTATGTGGGTTGTTATGTTGTGGGGTGTTTTTGTTGTGTTGGGTGTTTTGGTGTGGGGGGGGGTTGTGGGGTGGTTGGGGGGGTGTTTGGGGGGGTGGGTGGGGGGGTTGTGGTTTTGTTGTTGGGTTGGGTTGGTTAGGGTTTGGGTGGTTGTGTGGGTTGGTTTGGTGGGGGGGGTGTTGTGGGGTGGTTTGGGGGGGGGGGGGTGGGGGGTTGGTGGGGGTGTTGGGGGGGGTGGGGGGTGGTGGGGTGGGTTGGTTGGTTGGTTTGGGTTTGGTTGTGGGGTTTGTTTTGGTGTTTGTGTGGGGGTGGTGTTTGTTTGGGTTGTGGGGGTGTGGTTGGGTGGGTTTGGTTTGGTGGTGGTTTGTTGGTGGGGGTGGTGGGTGTGTGGGTGGGGGGTTGGGTTTTGGTTGTGTTTATGGTGTTGTGTGTTTGTTTTTGTGGTTGTTGTTTTGGGGTTTGTTGTAGGGTGTGTTGGGGGGGGGTTTGGGTTTTTTTGTAGGTTGGATTTGGTGTTAAGTTTATTGTAGTGGGGGGGGAAGTTGTTGGAGGGTTGGTGGGTTTGGTGGGTGGGGGAAAAGTTTGAATAGGGGTGGGGGTGGGGAGGGGGAGGTATGGTTGGATGTGTGTGTAAGAGAATATTTATAGGAGTTTTGTTTAGGATTGAGGTGTTAAGGATAATGGATGAATTTGAAAAAATGTGGGGGATGGGGAAAAGGAGGGGTTGGGTAATGGGGGGGGTGGTAGAATGGAGAGGGGAAGTTAAAGGGGTGGGGTGTGGAGTTGTGTGGGGGTGGGAGAGATATTGGGTTGTTTGGAATGGAGATGAGGGGTTGTGGTTGATGTGATTAAGGGAATTGTAGTTGGGGGGTGTTGGGAAATGGGTTGGGAGATAGGGGGGGGTAGATGTTGAAGGGAAAGAAAGGGTAATGTTTGGGGAAGTATATGGTTAGGTTTGGTTATGTGATGTTTGGTGTTGAGTGTGGGTGTAGTGGGTGGGTTGTTGTGTTGGTGTGTGTGTTGGGTTGGGGTGGTGGGGGGGGGAGGGGGTGGGGGGGGGGGGGGGTGGTTGGGGGGGGTTTTGGTTGGGTGTTGGGTGTGGGTTGGGGTTTTGGGGTGTGTGTATGGGTTGGGGGGTTGTATGGGGTGTGTTGGTGGTTGGGGAGGGGGTGGGGGGGGGGGTGGGGGGTGGGGTGGTGGGGGGGTGGGGGGTGTAGTGTGGGTGGTGTGGGGGTTGTTGTGTGTGTTGTGTTTTTTGTTTGTTGTGTTGTGGGGGTGGTGGGTGGGTTTGTTGTTGTGGGGGGGTGTGGGGGGGGTTTTGGTGTTGGGTTAGTGTGGTGTGGGGGGGGGGGGTGTTTTGTTTGGGATTTTTGTTTTGGGTGTGTGTGATTTGGTTGGGGGGGGGTGTGTGGGTGGGGGGGATTGGGGGTGGTTGTGTGGTTGGGTTGTGTGTGGGTGTGTTGTGTTTGGGTGTGTTGTGGGATTGGTTGTTATGTTGGTGGGTGTTGGTGGTGGTGGGTGTGTTTGGGTGGTGGGGGGTTGGGGGGGGTGTTGTGTTTGGGGGGGTTGGGGTGTGTGGGGTTGGTTGGTTTGGGTGTGTTGGGGGGGGGTGGGGGGGGGGGGGTGGGTGTTGGGGGTTGGGGGTGGGGGTTGGTGGATGGGGGTTGGGGTTTTGGGGGTTGGGGGGTTGGGGGTTGGGGGTTGGGGGGTGGGGGTTGGGGGTTGGGGGGTTGGGGGTTAGGGGGGGGGGGTTGGGGGTTTGGGGGGGTTGGGGGTGGGGGGTTGGGGGGATGGTGGTGGGGTTGGGGGTTGGGGGGTTGGGGGGTTGGGGGGGGGTTGGTGGGTGGGGGGGTTGGGGGGTTGGGGGTTGGGGGGGTTGGGGGTTTGGGGGTTGGGGGGTTTGGGGGTGGGGGGTAGGGGGTTTGGGGGGTTTGGGGTTGGGGTGTTGGGGTTTTGTGGTTGGTGTGTGGGTTTGGGTTTGTGTTGTGGTTTTGGTTGTTGGTTGTTGTTTGTGTGTGTGGGTGGGTTGTGTGGTGGTGGGGTTGTTGTTGTGGGTGTGTTTTGGGTGTTGTGTGTTGGGTGTGGGTGTGGGTTTGTGGGGGGGGGGGTTGTGGGGGTGGGGTGTGGTTTGTGGGTGGGTGGGGGGGGGGGGTGTGTGGGGGGGTGGGTTGGTGTGGGTGTGGGGGGTGGGTGTGTGGGTTGGTTTGTTTTGTGGTGGGGTTTGGTGTGGGGTTTGGTGGTGGGGTTTGGTGGTGGGGTTGGGGTGGTGGGGTTGGTGGTGGGTTTGGTGGTGGGGTTTGGTGGTGGGTTTGGTTGGGTGTTGGTGTGGGGTTTGGTGTGGTTTGGTGGTGGGTGGTGGTGGGTTTGGTGTGGGGGTTTTGGTGGTGGGGGTTGGTGTGGGGGGGGTTTGGTGGGGTGGGTATGGTGGTGGGGTTTGGTGGGTGGGGGTTTGGTGGGAGGGTGGTTTTTGAGTGTGGGGGGGTTGTGGGTGTGTGTGGGTGGGGTTTGTGGTGGGGGGGGGTGGGGTGGGGGGGGGGGGGGGGTGGTGGGGGGGTGGGTGTGGGTGGGGTGGGGGGTGGGGGTGTTTTGGGGTGGGTGGGGGTGGGGGTGGGGGGGTGGTGGGGGGGTGTGGTGTTGGGGTGTGTTGGGTGGTGTGTGGGTGGTGGTGGTGGGGGGGGGGTGTGGGGGGGGGTTGGGGTTGTGTGTGTGGGGGGTTGGTGTGTGGTGGTGTGGGGTAGTTTTTTGGGGTTTGGGGGGGGGGTTGGGTTGGGTGGGTGGGTGGGTTTGTGGGTTGGGGGGGGGTGGTTTTGGTGTTGGTTTGGGGTGGGTGGGGGGTGGTTGGTGGGGGGGGTTGGGTGGGGGGGGGTGTGTGGGGGGGGGGTTTGGTGGGTGTGGGTGGGGGTGTGGGGGGTGGGGTTGTGTTTTGGGGGGGGTTTGGGGTGGGGGGGTTTTGGGGGGTTGGGGTGTTGGTTGGGGGGGTTGGTGGGGGGTGGTGGGGGGGGGGGGGGGGGTGTTTGGGGGTGGGGGGGTGGGGGGGGGTGGGGTTGGGGGGTTGGGGTGGGGGGGGGGGGGGTGGGGTGGTGGGGGGGGGTGGGGGGTTGGGGGTTGTGGGTGGGTGTTGGGTTGTGGTGGGGTGGTGGTGTGGGGTGTGGGGTGGGGGGGTGTTGGTGTGTGTGGTTGGGTTTTGGGGTGGTGTGGGGGTTGGTGGTTTGTTTTTGGGGTTGGGGGGGGGGGGGGGGTTGGTGTTGTTGGGGGTGGGTTGGTTGGGTGGGTGTGTGGTGTGTTGGGTGTGGTTTTGTTTGGGGGGGTGGGGGGGGGGGGGGGGGGGTTTGTTGGGTGGGGGGGGGTTTTGGGTGTTGGGTGTTGTGGGTGTGGGGGGTGGGGGGGGGGGGGGGGGGGGGGGGGGGGGTGGGTGGTGGTGGGGTGTGGGTTGGGTGGGGGGGGGGGGTTGGGGGGTGGGGGGGGGTGTGGTGGGTGTGGGGGTTGGGGGGGGTTTTTGGGTGGGTGTTGGTGTGGTTGGGGGTGGGGTGGGGGGGTTGGGGGTTGGGGTGGGTGGGGGGGGGTGTTGGGGTGGGTTTGGGGGGGTTTTTGTGGGTGTGGGTGGGGGGGGGTTGGGGGTTGGGTGGGGGTGTGTTTTGGTTGGGGTGGGGGGGGGGGGGGTTGGGGGGGTTGGGGGGGGTTTGGTGGGGGGGTGGTTGGGTGTGGGGGGGTTGTGGGGGGGGGGGGGGGGGGGGGGGGGGGGGGGTGTGGTTGTGTGGGGTGGTTGGGGGGTTTTTAGTTTATTAGTAGTGTGGGAGGAGTTGTTGATTGGGTGTTGGGTGAGGGGGGTGATGTGTGATGGGGATTTGTGTAAGTGGTGATAGAGGGTGGTTAGTATGTTAGGTTATGGGGGGGGGGGGTTGGGGTGGGGAGGGGTTTATTTTAGGTGTGGGGGGGTTGGGTTGGTGGGGGTGGGGGGGTGGTGGGGTTTGGGTTTTGTGTTGTTGGGGGGGGTGTTTTGGTGGGTGGGGGGGGTTGGTGGGGGTGGGTGGTGTGTGGGGGGAGGGTGGTGGTTGTGTGGTTGTGGTAGGGGGGTGGTGTGTGGGGGGGGGTTGGGGTGGTGTTTTGGTTGGTGTGGGGGGGGGTGTGGGTGGTAGGGTGTTGGTTGTGATTGTGTGGGTGGTGTGTTGGGGGGGGGGGGGGGGTTTGTGGGGGGGGGGGGGTGGGGTGGGGTGTTGGTTGGGGTGGGGGGGGGTGGGTGTGGTTTGGGGGGGGGGGTGGGTGGGGGGGGGGGTTGTGTGGTGGTGGTGGGTGGGGGGGGGGGGGGGTGGGGGGGGGTTTTTGTGGGGATGTGTGGGGTTTGGTTGTTGGGGGGGGGGGGGTGTGGTGTGTGGGTGTTGGGTTTTTTTTGTTTTGGGTGGGTGGTGTGGGTGGGGGTTTGGGGGTGTTTGGGTTTGGGTGTGTGGGGGGTGTGGGGTTGGGTTTGGGGGGGGGGTGGTTGGGGGTGGGTGGGTTGTGTGTGTGTGGGTGTTGGGGGGGGGGGGGGGGGTTGGTGTGTGGGGTTGGGGGGGTGGGGGGGGGGTTTGTGGTTGTTGGGTGTGTTGGTGGGGGGTGTTGGGGTGGGGGTTGGGGGTGGGTGGGGGTTGTGGGTGGGGTGGGGGGGGGGGGTGTTGTGTGTGGTGTTGGGTGTGTTGGTTTTTTTGTGGGGGGGTGTGGGTTGTTGGGGGTGTTGTGGGGGTGGGTGGTGGTGTGGTGTTGGGGGGTGGGGGGGGGGGGTTTGTGGTGGGTGGGTGGGGGGTTGGTTGGGTGGGGGGGGGTGTGTGGTTTGGGGGGGGGGGTGGGGGGGGTGGGGGGGGTTGGGGGTTTGGGGGGTGGTGTTGTGGTTGGTGTGTGTTGGGGGGGTTGGGGTGTGGGTGTGTTTGGGGTGGTTTGTGTGGGTGGTGTGGTGGGGGGGTTGGTGGGGGTTGTGTGGTGGTGGGGGTGTGGTGGTGGGGGTGGTGGGGGTGGTGGGGGTGTGTGGGTTGGTGGGGGTGGTTTGGGGGTGGGGGGGGTTGTGGTGGGGGTGTTTTTGGTGGGGTGGGGGGGGGGGGGGGGGGGGGGGGGGTTGGTGGGGGTGGGTTGTTGGTGTTGGGGTTTGTGGGGGGGGGGGTGGGAGGGGGGGGGGGGGGGGGGTGGGGGGGGTTTGGGGGTGGGTGTTGGGTGGGGTTGGTGTGGGTGGGGGTGGGGGGGGGGGGGGTGGTGTGGGGTGGTTGTGGGGGTGGTTGTTTTTTTGTTTGGGGGGGGGGGGGGGGGGGGGGGGGGGGGGGGGGGGGGGGTTGTGTTGGGGGGGTGTGGTGTGTTGGTGGGGGGGTGGTGGGGGGGGGTTGTGGGGGGGGGGGGGGGGGGGGGGGGGGGGTTGGGGTGTTTGGTGGTGTGGGTGGGGTGTGGGGGGTGGGGGTGGGGGGGGTGGGGTGTGTGTGTGTGGGGGGGTGGGGGGTTGTGGGGTGGGGGGTGGGTGGGGTGTGATTGTGGGGTGGGGGGGGGTGGGGGGGGGGGGGGGGGGTTGGGTTGGGGGTGGGGGGGGGGTGTGGTGTGTTGGGTGTTTGTTGGGTGGTGGGTTGGGGGGGGGTGTGGTGGGTTTGTTGGGGGGGGGGGGGGGGTTTGGTTTGTTTGTGGGGGGGGGGGGTTTGGTGGTGGGTGTTTGTTTGGGTGGGGGTGTGGGGTGGTGGTGGTTGTGTGTGGGTGGGGTGTTTGGGTGTGTGTGGGTGTGTGGGGGGTGTTGGTTGGTGGTGGTGGGTTTGGTGGGGTGTGTGGGGGGTAGGGGGGGGGGATGGGTGGGTGGGGTGGTGTTTTTTTTTTAGTTGGGGGTGTGGGTTGGTGTGTTTTTGGTGGGGGGTGGGTTTGTTTTTGTGGGGGGTGGGTTGGGGGGGTGTGGGGGGGGGGGTGGGGGGGGTGGGTGGGGGGGGGGGGTGGGGGGGTTGGGTGGGGGGTGTGGTTGGTGGGTGGGGGGGGGGGGTGGGTGGGTGGGGGGGGGGGGGGGTGGAGGGGGGGTGGTGGGGGGGGGGGGGGTGGGGGGTTGGGGGGGTGTTGTGGTTGTGGTGGTGTGTGGGTTGTGGTTGGTGGGTGTTGGTTGGTGTTGTTTGTTTGGTGGGGGGTGGTGTTGTGTTGGTGGTTTTGTGGTTGGTGGTGTGTGGTTGTGGTTTTGTGGTTGGTGTGTTGGTTGGTGGTGTTGTGGGTTTGGTTGGTGTGTGTGTTGGTGGTGTTTGTGGTTGGTGGTTTGTGTGTGGGTGGTGTTGTTGGGTGTTGTTGTGGTTGGGTGGTGTTGTGTTGGTGGGTGTTTGGTTGGGTGTTTTTGTGGTTTGGGGTGGTGTTGTGGTTTGGTGGTTTTTTGAGTTGGTGGTGTGTGGTTGGTGTGTTTTGTGTTGGATTTGTTGTATGGGTTTGGGGGTTTGTGTGTTGGGGGGTTGGGGGGGGGTGGGGGTTGGTTGGGTGGGGGGTGGTTGGTGGGGGTTGTGTTGGGGGGGTGGGTGGGGTGTGTGTGGGGGGGGTTGGTGGGGGGGGGGGTGTTGGGGTTTTGGTGGTGTGGGTTGTGGTGTTTGGGTTGTGGTGGTGGTGTGGGTGTTGTGGGTGTGTGGGGGTGTGGTGTGGTTGGTGTGTGTGGGTGGGAGGTGTGGTTGGGTGGGGGGGGTTGGGGGGGGGGTTGTGGTGTTTTGGTGTGTGTGTTTTGTGGTGTGTTGTGTGGTGGGTGTGGGGTTGTGTGTGGTGTGTGTGTGGTGTTGTGTGTTTGTTGGTGGGGTGTGTGGTGTGTGTGTGTGGTGTGTGTGTGTGTGGGTGTGTGTGGTGTGGGGTGTGGTGTTGTGTGGTTTGTTGTGGGGGTGTGTGTTGGTGTGTGCGGGTTTTGTGGGTGTGTGTGGGTGTGTGTTGTGTGTGTGTGTGTTGTGGGTTGTGTTGGTGTTGTGTGGGTTGTTGTGTTGTTGTGTGGTGTGTTGGTTGTGTGTGGGTGTGTGTGGTGTGTTGGTGTTGTGTGTGTTGTGGTGTGTTGTGTGTTGTGTGTGTGTGTGGTGTGTTGTTGTGTGTGGTTTGTTGTGTGTGTTGTGTGTGTGGGGTTTTTTGTGTTTTGGGTGGTTGGTTGGGGGTGTTTGGGGGGGTGTTTGTGGGTGGGTTGGGTGTTGGGTTTTGGTTGGTGTTTGGGGTGGGTTGGGGGTGTGGGGGGGTTGTGGGTGGGGTGGGGGTGGTTTGGGGGGGGGGGTTGGGGGTGGTGGGGGGGGGTGTGGGGGTGTTTGGGGGTGGGTGTTGGGGTTTGGGTGGTGGTGGTGGGGGTGGTGGTTGTGGTGGTGGGGGGTGGGGGGGGGGGGGGGTTGTTTGGGGGGTGGGGTGTTGGTGTGTGGGGGTTTGTTGGGTGGGGGGTGTGGGGGGGGTGGGGGGGGGTGGGTTTGTGGGGGGGTTGGGGGGGGGGGGGGTGTTGGGGGGTGGGGGGGGGTGTGGGGGTTTTGGTTTTGTGTTGGTGTGTTTTTGTGGTTTTTTTTTTTGTGTTTTTTTTGTATTTGTTGTTTGAGTTTTTTAGGTGAGTGTTTGTGTTTGTTTAGGGGGGGTTGGGGATTGGGGTTTTTGGTTGTGTTTTGTGGTGTGGTGTGGGGGGGGGGTTGGGGGTGTGGGGTGGGTTTTTGGTGGTTTGGTTGTTGTTTGGATGGGGGGTTGGGGGGGGGGGGGGGGGGGGTTGGGTGTGGGGGTGGGGGTGGTGGGGGGATGGGGTGTGTTGGTTGGGATGGGTGGTGGGTTGGTGTTGTAGTTGTTGTTTTGTGTGTGTGGTTTGGTTGGGTTGGTGGGGTGGGGTGGTGGTGTTGTGTTGGTTTTGGGTGGTTGGTGGTTGTGGGTGTTGGGTGGTGGGTGGGGGGGTGGGGGTGTGTTTGGGGGGATGGTGTTGTGGGGTTTTTGTTGGGTGTGGGTTGGGTGTGGGGGTTTTGGTTTGGGGGTGGTGGGGGGGGGGGGTGGAGTTTGGGGGTGGGTGGGGGTTTGTTTGGGGGGGGGGGGGTGTGGTGGGGGTGTTTGGTTGTGTGTTTGGGGGGGTATGTGGGGGGGGGAAGGTGGTTTTTGGATGTTGTGGGGGTGTTGTGTGTTGTGGGAAGGTGTGTTGGGGGTGTGGTGTTGTGGGTTGGGGGGTTGTTGTGGAATTGTTGGTTGGTTGTTTGGGGGTGGGGGGGGGGGGGTTGTGTTGGGTTTTGTGGGGTGGTTGTGGTTGGGGGGGGGGGGGTGGTTGGGGATGGGGTGGGGGGTTGTTGTGGGTGTGGGTGGGGGGGGAGGTGTGGGGGGTGGTGGTGGAGGGGGGGGTGGGTGGGATGAGAGGGTGAAAAATAATATGGAGGGAGGTAAGGGGGAGTTGAGGGGTGAAAAGTGGGGGGGGGAAGGAAAAGTTTTGGGTTGTTGGGGTGGGGGGGATGTGGGGGGTTATGGGGAAAGGAGGGGAGAATAATGATAAAGAATGAAATTATGGATTGGATGGAAGTTGGTTAAATATGGGATATAGGAGGGAAATGTTGGGATTGGGAGGTTTGGGGGAGGTATGGTAAGGGGGAAGTTTGGGGGGGTATTGTTAGTTTGGGGGGGTTGGGGGGTTTTGTGGGTGGTGTGGGTTTGGTTGTGGTGGGGGTGTATGTGAAGGTTGGTGGTGGTGGGGGGGTTGTTTTTGGTGTGTTTTGGGGGGGGATTGGGGTTGTGGGGTGTGTGGGTGGTGGGGGTGGGGGGTGTTGGGGTGTTTGGTTGTTTGGTGGTTGTGAGTGTTTAGTTAGTGGTTGGTGGTTGGGGTTTTGGGTGTTTGGGGGGGGGGGGTGGGTTTTTTGTGTGATTTTTGTTTGTTTGAGGTGTGGTTGTATGTGGGGGGGGGGGGGGGGTGGTGTTTGTGTTGGTGTTGGGGGGGTGTGGGTTGGGGGGTGTGGGTTGGTGGGATGGGGGTTTGTGGGTTTTATGGGGGGGGGGGGGTTGTGGTGGGTTGTTGTGGTTGTTTGGTGGGTGTGGGGTGTTGTTGTGGTGGTGGTGGGGGGGGGTGGGGGTTTGGGTGGTGGGTTGTTGTGGGGTGGGGGGTTGTGTGTGGGGTTGTTTTGTTTGTAGGGTGTAGGTTGGTTTGTGGGTGTTGGTTTGTGGTTGTGGGGGTGGGGGTGGGTGTTTTGTGGTTGGGGGGGTG